CTCAATACTATTCGATTATATTGTCGGGACACATAAATAAAAAACAATACTAATATATAACTTAACTGTTCAAGAATTACCTATTAAAATGAAATTATATTAATGGTAACATTATTGTGTATTTTGCATTTTTTTTTTTTGAATAAGAATGCTCTTAAGTAAATATTTAAGACAATGTTATATGTCTCGAGGTACAAACATAATAGCCCTGACTTATACATACTATGCATTATTGTGTCCATGCAGTTCACGTATTCTACAAGTGAGCAGGGTAGATCAGAATGTTGAATGAGAAATCGGAGAGGTTATGGGAGGAGGCCAACATACGGACAAATTAAAACGAGAATTGTTATTTACATTTAAAAATATATTTGGTCGTAGTGTACACATTATTAGATACAATATTTATTGTTAATATTTTTAAAAACCATCATACATTTAATAAATTGTTTAAAGGTGATACTTTTGGTCTTCCGACAGCACGCAAAAGACATTGGGATTTCATGATTGTTGATTTAAATTTACCATGACATAAGCAAACGCAATAATTATATAAATTGAAGGAGGGTGCCTAAGATACATAACTAAATTACTTGACAATTCTCGTGTATGTAGATTGTAGAGATAAGGGTTAAAATTATGCAAGAATCTTAATTACCATATAGTTACATGTTTAAAAAATCTATTGTGAAATCCTTCATTACAGTGTCAGAAAAATGTTGCGACTCTGGATCTAGGATTTGAAAATGACATTTATATTTCATGAGCTAAATGGGTATCACAACCTCTTATCATACTAACTACTTTCGCAAATATACAAATGAAACAAAAAAAAACAAAAGTTATTAAAATGAAAATCGAAAAAATCGGGAAAACTAGCAAAAACATGGATTTTTAAAAGTGTATTTTATTCCCATAGTGTATTACGGATGTTTAATGATGATCTGGTAATGACTAATGCGTGTATAAAAGTATGTATGAAAGACTAAATGTAGAAATTTATATTTTTCTTTTATTAATGACGGAGTTACCAATAAAATATTTCTGTCTATAATATAGTTTTATAATATTATATTCTGTGATAAATGATTATTCAATACTTTAATTATGAACAACTATTATTATAAGTAATTATGTTGTTTCACAAATGAAAAGACGAAAGAGTATTGAATCGACTCAGAATAGATTATACACCATAAACATGTGACCATCAGATGAAAAAAAGATCCAAAACAAAATGTCTTACATGGGGATGTACAACGTAAACAATTACATCATTACCGCATGTATAGACAAACAAGCAGTTTCTGTGTCCCGATGAAGAATCCCAAAAAAATATATTTTTATCTATGAAAGATATTGAACTATACAATGTAATTTAAATTATTTGAATACCATATTATGTAAGAATTAATCATGATCAAGTAATCGACGCTTTCTTCATTATCGAAAAAAAAATAAAAATGTGTTTATATATTGTATAGGAATTATTCAAATACTGCTTTTTGAAAATTTAAAACATTAAGAATACTTATGTAGTACTTAATTAAGTTTCCTGTGATGACTCAAAACTGCCCGTTTTTTTAAAAAATAAAAACCCCTCTTTTCGAATGTAATTCATTTACCAGATCATTTTTCGAAAATGTTGATGTATTTGAATCAAAATCCAAACAAGTAGTTTCTGAATTATTAAACTTGTGTACTATGGGTTTTATAGATTCAAGATAAAGGGTTTGGACGATATGAGGTTTCTGGTAATTTTAAAAATGTTGGTGATAAATATTAACCAGTTATTATTGAATTTAAAAAACTGGTTAACCCCTAAGCAAAAAAATGATTTCGGTCTAGGTTCCGTTCAAATAATCATGGGTTTCAATCTCGGGTTTAAAAACCGCTCTCTTGTTTTATTGCTCTCGCTCTGGTTACGGTTAAAATAAATCATCAAAACCGATTATTATTATTATTAATCGGTTTTCCTAAAACCGGTTTCCGTCCCTGATATATTGTAATACATGTGTTTTAAACATTATTTACCTACTTTTATTTCCCCATGAGCTTTACTCAGTTGCACTGAATCAAACCGTTTTGTTTCGTTTTTGCCAAATAACGTATTGAACATCATCATTGAACTGCTTTTAATATTAATTTTATTTTGTATTATTCAACTCCGTCGTTATTATTAATTTGTATTGGTAAATTCTAATATGGTTCTTATATTATGTTTTATATTATTAGGAAAATAGCTGCAGGTCTATGGAAACAGTGTTAAACACAGGGATGGATTATTTATTTTTATTTATATTATGATAAATCATAATATATTAATGTTTAAGGAAAATCTTAGGTATAAAAAACATTTTATAATTTAAGATCACAAAATTAGTTTTATTTTAACGAAATAATTATCAATAAATAATAAATATTATTAAATATAATGAGGTTTATTTTAAAGTTATATTTATAACAGAAGAAAAGTTCAAAATGTATAAGCATGCCCAATATTATGCTTATTTTTCCTTTACGCATCTTAAGATTTACATTGGCATTTATAAATAATGAGTTATGAATTATGACTCATGACCACCTATTACGTTATTCATTTGTAGATAAATAGTTTTTTTACAATTTGTTTACATAAGTAATGTATTATAATAAAACTACTTACATGGTATTGTAAAATTTCCCACTTATATCAATGTCATATTAATAGTTATTAGTAGATACAGTATTGTAAAGTATTCGAATAAAAATATTTGAATACTTTTTTGTATTCAAATACTATTTTAAATACTTTTATTTGTATTTTTTTATTCATTAAAAAATAATTTTTTTCCTATCCAGAAAAATAGTTTTAAAGTTGTGACAAGACATATTATAATAAATCATGAACATTATAGTTTTCGTATCCATACTATCGGATATGCTTATCCATATACTTATCAAAAATTCCTAATAAATTACTTTTATCATTAAGTGAAACACTTTCAATAAAAAATGGTATTCATAAAATATAACACTCCCCTTCCAAGTAGTGCGTCTGTTTTTTTCGAATACGTATTCTAAATACATTAATTCTCATTTATTTGAATATATATTCTGAATACAAAATACAAATATTCTTTGAAAAACTGAGTAGGTATAAGTAGGTATACCTTAACTAGTTACATATTGTGGTGTCATTGTCTCACAAAAGTAAATATACCTGTAACGGCAAATGTAAGTTCTACATTTTATGTTCTGAATTTTAACTGTTAAATTATCAAACTCATTATTTGGCAGACCCAAAGTGTCAGGTTGCAGGTAGGTAGGAACCTAACTAATTTTCCGCACCACTTTCTTCATTTTTTAATCGAACTTGGTGTTTTTTTTAAATTTTCTGTTTGCCACTGGTTAATCGGGCAGATCAGGTTAGAAAATGCATCAAATCGAATTTTAGTACAATGCCTACCAAGGTATATGTTGGCTAAGTTACACTTATAGTCACTCATCGCCGATGAGTCATCGGCATAAAGACAAAAAAAAATAATTAAAAAAGTTAAAATTAAAAATAGTATAGAGTGTGCACCTAATGGGGTCCACAATCCACCACAAGTAAAGTAGATAGCTTACCTGATAACATTATACTGCTCACTTTATCACAGGCAATTCTCATATAGAGTTGGCATTTTTAAAGACAGTTAATTTGTCTAATGACGATCACACGTAGCTGCAACCGCCATATATTTATGAGTATTTATGAGTATTTCGGAGTTGTATGAGAAATTATATAAATTATTTCGTTATTGAAAAATAATAATACATTTCTCATCGATACGCTTTAAACGTGTTTAACAATACAAATTCTAATTATAACTATAGAATCATTTTGAAATGACAATATGTATATAGAATCATTAAGATCATTAAATATTTTTTTTTTTTGATATGCTTTTTCAAAATTAGATCTCAAATATGGTAAAAAGAGTTTTATATGTAGCTTTATAATACTTGGACAACGACGTTACGGGACAGCTAGTAATATTTAAAAAATATATATACATATATAATATTTTCTCCTATGTAACTACATATTTTAATCTGTTACCAATGCCGATATTAACATAAACAAAAATATATTATTTTTGAACTTATTTATTTGCTGGACAGAAAACACCACTGTAATTTCATCACCACCGAAACATCTTAACCGGGCTAAATCCGACCGTGCGCAGCGCAGAGAAAAACGGTCGTTTAAGATCAGATAATCTGTCCAAACCTCACGATTTCATGTTACCTTATATTGTTTTACATTGTTTGAAATAAGAGATATTGTGATTTATTTCACCGAGCAAACGTATTTAATTTGTTCTGTAGATCTACGAAACAATATGAACTTCCATATAATATCAAAATACGGGTAGTTAGATTATATTTATTGTCTTTTCTTGAGTAAGTAGTCGGGACTTCTAAGCTGTAGTAACTTGTATTAATTGTAATATTAATAAACAAAGTAATAATGTGAATGACACTGTTATTGATTTCTATAATTGCTCATAGCTTTCATTTGAAATTACAATTTCATTAAACATGATAATAAATTAAAGTCTCTCCATCACATAATATAACATGTATTTTGTGTTCATTTAAGAATATTATTATCATTATAATATTAAGTTGTATGTAGTATAACGAGTCACTGCCAGCTAGTGGTATACTATTATTACATCGTATTACATACTACGAGGGACGTCTGCAAAATAATATAATATACCTCTAACACCATTACCTTTCGACATAACTTAAAATAATTATTGTTTCTCGGGAATGCACACGCATATAATATAATATTTTTTTTTTTTTTATTTAATAATAATAAGCCGCAACAACTTTGGTTATTGGCTTTTGTTATACAAAATAGAATAATGTAAGTATGTGTTTTAAAGAATATTACTTTTTATACATATAAAGAGGAAGCGGAGAGTGAGTTATACAATTCAAGTTTGGATCATATAGGATCATATTTAGATTAGGTTGTATAATTTAGTAAGTTTTAAGAAAATGAATATTTTTTGGGTGTTGTCTGGATCGGGTCCTAGTGCTTCTTGAAGGTTGTCAGCTAGCTTGAGTTTGGTTCTAGTATCATTGAATTCTCGACAGAAACATATGATATGTTTGACTGAAGGAATTTCACCACAAGTGAGACAAGGTTCGGGGTCCGTTTTGGTCATTAGGTGTTTGTGAATTAACCATGTGTGTCCAATTCTGATTCTATTAAGAATTACTTCTTGGCGTCTGGGAAGATGGATGGTTGGCCATGGGAGAATGCTTGGTTTGATTTCGTTTAGTTTGGTTCGAAGGGTTGACCAGGTGTGTTGCCAATTTTTAAGGATATACTCAGAGATGAAATATTTAGAATCTTGTAATGTATATGAGCAGAGGACTAGAGAGTGTGGGGATGAGATGGACTGTTTGGCACATATATCTGCTAATTCGTTTCCGGGAATACCGATATGACTTGGTATCCATATAAAGGTGATAGTCTGTGAATTGGTTTGGAGATATGATATCTGGTTCTGTATTTTTTGTGAAATGCTATTAGGTTGGAAGAAATTTTGGATGCTTGTGAGTGTGCTAAGTGAATCGCTGAGTATGATAGATTTGTTTATTGTGTCTTGTTTTATAATATCTAGAGCATGTGAAATAGCCAATGCTTCAGCCGTGTATATTGAACAATAGTCAATGAGTTTGAGCATTCGTATGGTTTCGTTGAATGTAACTGCAGCGCCTACACCAGTTTCCGTTTTGGATCCGTCCGTGAAAAAACAAATATGGTCTTGATATCCTTCAAGGATTGATTGTAGTTCATTTTTGTATATGATTGGCGTAGTTTCGCTTTTAGGTAGGGAAGATAATTTGAGATTAATGTCGATGTCCATAGTCCAGGGGGGAGTGATCGGACATTCATGGTTGATTATGTCAGAGTATTTAAAGTTGGAGTCTTGGAGTTCAGTTGTGATGCCATGATGAATGTCGAGGTTGTTCTGAGCTCGTCTTGCAGATAGAAGCATGATGTTTTTTTTTCTTATGAGATTTAAGGGTGGGGTGTAAGAGATGTTGAGCAGGCTGGGGATAGGGCTTGATCGGAATGCACCTGAGGCTAATCTCAATCCAAGGTTGTGTACTGTGTCAATCATATTTAGGCTGGAAGGTTTGGATTTGAAAAAAAGGAAGGAACCATATTCTAGTTTGGATAGGATGAGTGATGTATATTATAATTTATAATGCATAGAGGTTGTACTCGTACTTTATGATTATATGTATAGTTACACGTTATTGGACGATTTACGAGTAATCGTATCATCGACAGCCAATAAGGTCCTTTTACGACTTCCAAACACACACACCGTGAGTTGATTGTCTGGTAAAGTGGTCGAACAGAAATGTGTGTTAAAAAATATGTTGTATACGTACCTATATATTGCGATTTCAATATTATTTAATTTTTCGGCCTAGTTGTTCCTAATATTATTTTATAATATGCAGAAAAAAATCTAAAAATTGAATATGGTTACAGTGCGCAAGCAATAATAAGCGGCCGAAGGTTGACGGCGAAAACCAAGATTTTTTGTTCATGGATAGTAAAAATGTGAGGCAGAGACACAAGGAGGGAGAAAGACAGAGAGAGGTATACAAATATGAAATAACCAAGCAGAATAGATACAAAAATTCAAAACTCGTGGCAATCCTATTTTATTCAACAGGTGATTGATGGAAAAACTTAAAATCGATAATGATATTCAAATTTTCATATTATACGATTGTAACTGTTACGAAACACTGTTAAAAAAGTGAAAACTATAACCGTAATGTGTAGGTCGATAATCAAAAAAAATCGGGAAAACAAGTGCCTGTAACCTATAACCTAACAAATTGCTGAAAGAGAATGTATTCCAATTGTGAATTTTGGAAGTACTATAAATTATATAGAGTTCTATTACAGCTCATGCAATTGAAAATCTTTCAAATTGTCTGATTTGCCTCCAGTAGTTAAGCTCCTTCCCCGACAAACCGTTTTAAGTTGTTTAGTGATGGTGATACCGACTACGTCGTCATCGTTATAGTAAAAATTATTTGTAATTCATACAGTAACAGCATTTCACCCACATTTTTTTCCCCTTTAATAATATTATTTATCAAATACTGCTTTTTTGAACCTTTAACATTTTGTTTAAAATTAAAAATACTTGTGTGGTACTTAAATAATTTTCGTGTGATGACTCAAACATGAAAGTTTTCTTAAAAAATAAGAATCCCCTTTTGGTACGCAATTTACCACATCATTTTTTGAAAATGTTGGTAATTTTTAAGTTTTTTTAGCTATGGCTTTTATAGATTCACGATATAGGGATTGGAAGACATGAGGTTATTTTTAATTTAAATAATGTTATTGATAAATATTATCATTGCAGTATTCGTAATTGTTAAAAACAGACCAAGTGTAATTCATGCTACTAATAGTTTTATATGTATGTATAGCAATTTTTAAGAACTTTATTCTAGATTTAATATTCTGAGATAACTCAATAACTACTACTTTGAATTTCGAATTGAGTAATTCAATATTTTCAAAAAACTACGATTTAAAAAAAAACTTTGTCCGATTTCCGAGTTTTCTCAAACATACCTCACCGTTTCAGTGTGTCACGAAATAAAGATAATTAATATTCTTATAATAATTATAATGAATAACATCAACTATATATTATGTTGTCTTGAGTTATTGTGTTTGTATTGGAAATAGTATGAAACACTGTAAAAAAGAAAAGTTTAAAACAGGGCTTGGAACCGAAATTAAAAATACCGGTATTTTAACCGGAACCTATTGAAAATATTGGAACCGGAACCTTACCAAAACCCTTTTTTGATTTTCCTAGGAACCTAAACAGGAACCGGAACCGATATTTATCTGAAGAGAATTTTTTGGTTAATTTCGGTTTTTTTCGGTTCTAGTTTTATTTAATTATTTAATATATTTAGGCAGATAATACATATTATTAAATAATAGTTGATTCTTAAAATTTGGTTGTAAATGAATACGGGTAATTATAATTGTACATTTCTATAATCTAACAGTTCCAGGAAACAATAAACTATGAGCATTTGCCAAAATAAATATAATAAATATTGTTATTTGCCTGTTGGTTTGTAAAGCATGTCGTTATGATTATTTCCTTATATTTTATAATTTATAAATAGTTTTGGATACAATGTCTTGTAATGTAAGTTGATGAATGATGTCTAATAAAATGATTATTAACGCGATAAAAATACACACCCGTATAAATTGTTATCAGATTGTGACAAGGACTAATAATTAATATTAAAATGGTATACATATACATATTAAATATAATTTCTGAATAGTTTCTTACAATAATAAATTCGATAGTCGTTATTTGGCAGTGTTCACCACTAAAAATAGCATATCATAGTACCTACTACCTATGATACCTATCATACAAAAACAAGTAACAACCAATCAATTAATGTGGTAATAGTGTAATGTTGAGCACATACTGCTTCTATCTCGAAATCTCGATAATTACATAGTTATATGCATAGGCGCAATTTCAACTTTTGACTTAGGGGACTGAATATATTAAAGGCAAGCAGACTATTGCAATATAGAATTTTAAAATTGTATATCATACGTTTTTTTTAGGGGGGGGCTGCGACTAAGTTTGGGGACCTTATCCCCCCCGATTTACGCCTATGGGTATATGAATGAGTTTAAAATTGGTTTTTTTTTTGCTTTTTGAAAAAAAAATACCTCTAAATACCGGTATTTACCTGTACCAGAACCGAAACCTTAATTCTGTAATTTTAAGAACCGGAACCGAAACCGGTACCGAATTTTTATTTTTTTGAAGAACCGAATTGGAACCGAAACCGAAAAAATCATAAAGGTTCAAAGCCCTGGTTTAAAATATGCATATTGCCTTTGAACTTTTTTTGAACTATCTATTATTTTTTGATAGGTTTTCCTATGTTTTTCTATATTTTCTTATAACCAAGTCTATATTACCATAGATTTATTAATCTATTCACAGAATAATAATCATTGGGATTTAATGATTTTTGTTATCATTTTACAATGACTTAAGCATAATATGCAATTACGTTATATATTGAAATGGGCACACCTATAAGAGACATGACTAACTCAGTGTACTGTTCTTGTGTATTTAGGTGTCAGTGACAACGATTACAAATATACAAGAATCATATTTATTATAATACACTATTTATGTATTTTTAAAGAAAAAAAAAAATTATTTTCGTACTCCTATTTCCCAGTGTGGTATAGTACTCAGTTGCACGGTATCCACCTGTTTTGATTCGTTTTTGCCGAATAACGTTTTGAACGTCGTCGTTGAACTACTTTTAATATTAATTTTATTTTGTATTATTCATCGCTATTATTATTATTAATTTGTATTGGTACCTTCTAATATGTTTCGACATATTATTGTGTTAACTATTTGTTATATGTTTTATATTATTGGACATACAGCTGCATGGCAACAGTGTTAAACACGGGAATAAATTATTTATTTTTATTCATATTATGTCAAATCACAATGTATTAATGTTTATTTAAAATCTTAGGAATACAAACAATTGAAGTAGTTTCTAAGTTACGATGTTACGTAATATTACGTGATATAATATGGAAATGGGGGCCCCTAAGAGACACGACTAAGCGATTGCATTATTTTTGTGTATTTAACTGTCAGGGAAAATTGTTACTAATACACAAGAATCTTAACTATTATAGTAATATAATGTAATATAATATATATATATTATAACATTTATATTAATACACTACATATACATTGATGTATAGAAATATATGTATTATAAGTAAAAAAAAAAACAAAATTGTATTTAAAACCCTTATGGTTTACTCAGTTGCTCAGTATCCACCTGTTTTGTTTCGTTTTGCAGTGTAAAGCTGAAAATCGTCGAACTACTTTTAATATTACTTTAACTTTATCTCAATCAACGTCGTCATTATTTCTATTTTTTTGTTGGTAATTTCAAGTATGGTAAAACATACTGTTATGCTAGCTTTATTTATTATGTTTTATATTATTGGAAATACAATTGCACCACCTACGCGACAACAACGTAGAGCAAGTGAATATATTGCTTATTTTTATTGATAATTATCACATTTTAATGTTAATTAAATATGAGTCATATTTACGAACCAAATAAATACAATTCAAATTCATAAAATTAGTGTTATTTTAATGAAATAGTAATCAATATATTACATTAAATGAAATGGGGTTTATTATAATATTATTTAGTTTTTCAAGTGAGGATTTACCCATTGTGATATCTCCTGAAATAATAGAGATATCATAATTCTGGTTATTTATTACGACTTACAAGAACAAGCACTAAAAATAATTCATCTTTTAATTTTTTTTTTGTTTTGGTAAACAAGTTGAAAAATATATTTTTTAATTAATTCTTTATTTGAAAACAAATTGAACACAGATATTTCTCTTAGATATCAACTGTCTTCCTTCAACTTAATTGTAAAAAATCTGACAAATTTTTTACTACCAACTAACATTTTCAGAATTTGAAGAAGTGATAAACTGCGCTAGTAAGTAATTTAAGTTTACTTTCTCTATCACAACGCATTGTTCATATAAATACATCGAGCTTCACTCAATGTTATCACTTTTTTACCTATGATTGTGAGTTTCACTAAAGTCAGTAATTTAAATTTTATAGTAATATAAAAACAAATCATTATTCATTACAATATATAATAGGCAATGGTCAAAAACCTATTTGTGAGCCTGCAATTTTCATATTTTTACTCAGAGAATCAACAATACTTGGATCATTTTAATTGATTTAAATAAAGCATTGAGTTAAAAATAAACTCAATTATAATTTATACATTTTTATTTTTATTAAAAGTCAATTTAAAATGTAAGTACATAATATTACAAGATAATACATAGTCGCGTTGATACCTACACCCCATAGTCAAAGCTTTTGGCCGGAGTAGGGAGCCTATTACATAATATTATATTCTGTTCAAAATATTAAACGCGGTTTGCTCCCGATAATATGTGCTGATATAATGATATAATACTACACGGCAAGTGTACTGCAGATTTGTCACTTGTGATTGAGACAAACAGGTGTTGCCTGACCGTCGAAGACGAAAACTGGCGGCTGACGACTGTGTTTGTCATTTAGAACATAGAAGTCATTACAAATATGAAAGAAGCTCGCTGTGCTCAATTCACACATATTCATAAAATTGCATTGACCTTTGCGAGTTCCCCGGTTGATTATCATTTATCATATCGTTGTTCTGGTGGTTTATAATCCCAACAAGTAGTTTAGCTCGTGGTGATGCAGGGTTAAATTCATTAAATCTATTCTATCCGGTTGTTGAGATCTTAAAAATTACTGCTTCGTGTTGTGTATAAATACAAAGTAATAACATACACAACAATATCAAATAAACATGAGTTGGCGATAAGACAATTATACAGATACAATTTAATTTAAAATTGTTTTTCATGTTTCTTAAGTAAATAGTCAGGACTAATTAGATGCAGTAACTAATATTACAATTAATAAAATAACAGTTATAATGAGATTAACACAGTGCTTCGTTTCGGGCATTTGTAAATTTCGTTTTAAAGTATGTCTTTAGTATCTATAATATATAAAGACACATTTTCTTCATGCATATATTTTGAATTCATAATCAACTTATGATAATAAATGTTTGTAACTGTATGTGTTATTACAGCATGTAGTGACTTGAGTCTATAACGTAGTTAATTATTCTGATACCAAATAAAAGTTAAATATCGGTATACATGTTTTTGTCATTCAAATTTTTTCACAAATAATTGCATTAGAAAATGGCATTTCTATGTCTAGTAGAGAGTAAATGTTATAACTAGTATGTAGCGTGCAGAAAAGTTTCTGTCCAAATCACATTAGTGAACATGAAAGTAGTAATAGCTGGTTTGATAGGATGGCTTAATTTTTTCTTGTGTGTGCTGTTCTTTAAACGTTTTAAACATTTACATAGAGAGGAACAACCATAACAGTCCATTTTGAATTTCCAAGTTACTGATAGATTCCTATTCAGGGGTAGGTAGTAAAAGTGTAACATCAAATAGTACGTGTTCCATTGGAAATCGTTGTCCGAGCTTCGAACACCATTACGTCACTCCCTGTCAAGAAGATATACTAATAAACGTTTATACATATTACTATCTGCAATACTATCTGCACCGAACGACGCTGTGCGAGTCAAAGATTTGTATTTTTATTAATTATGTTTGTAAACATTTTTATTATACTCCATATTTCTCCAAAATTTATATAAATTATTAACGTATTCCTGTCCTATATTTGTTTTAAGAAATAATTTCTTTATTTCAATCCATAAACTTGACGATTTGATGTCTGCTTGTAAGTCATCGTCCAATTAACTAATTACCACCGTTTATATACGAATACAATACTTATACATGACACATACAAAACTTCTACTACGTATGTATCCTATGACTATTATAATCGATTCGCTGGAAAAATTGCTACCATTTAAATTACAAATTATGTTGTATATTTACACTTTTACTATTTATTTAAACTTTTATAGGACAATTTTATGAGTTTGGACTTCTGACAAGAAATCCAAGAGGTATATTAATTTTAATTTTATTGGCTTATTAAAAAATAATAATTGTTTATGACTAACTTTATTGTTACATAATTAAATATTTAACTTATTATAAGCAGCTTGTATCTCCTTATGAAACACCGCAGCTAATTTTTGTTTATCATATGTCACGGAAAAAAAAATTAAGAACAGTCTAGTCGCTCACTGTTAGATGTGTCATGCGACTGTCCACAGTGACGAAATAGTATAGCCATCATTCAGACAAGTAGCTAACTTGATTGAAAGCCAGACAAAGAAAGGACCAAAATAAAATAATTTTTATCAATTTGTTGTTGCCTCTGACTTATGTTTATATCACGCATAGAGGCTATTGATTTATGATCCATAACTACATTTTTTTTTACAATGATTATTAATTACTTTGGAATTCTAATTGAATTTCTTTAACTTATTGATATATCCGGCACAAAATGTGATTTTACACTACATTATTCGATTTGAATATTTTGGTTAGATAATGAAAACATTATAGAAAATTTAGTGTTATGTTTTATTGCACCCGATTGAATGAATAATTTTATAATGAACTTGTATCATACAAATTGTATGTTGTTATTAAGTACACATATTGTTTGTCTACTTGATTTGATTGAAATAAAAAAGACAGTAACAAACTGAAATTTATTTATGCATGATTTTTTTATATTTCATAGTGTTCGGACCTTTACCAGATAACGCAGTGGAAACCTTTGATGATTTATTGCAGAGATTCTGTAAATATACATTACTTAGTTATTTATAATAAATAAATATTGTGTTATTTATATTTTAATAATGATAAGAAGAGATTCAACTAATTCACAATAAAATAACATATTAGATGAGTAATTTTCATCTACATATTAGTCGACACTAAGTGTAAGTTCATATTCACCAAATTAACAATAACACTTGACCGATAATGTTAAATATCTACTTTTTGAAATATGTTATGTGTTATCACGGACATAATATGGAGAAGTGTAATATACTAATTTTGGTTAGAAAGTTAAAAGTTACAACAGTAATTTTAAACATTTTTCGTTGAAATTACAGGGTTATAGGATATCTCGGCGAAAGTGATTTCGGCGAAAGAGATTACGGCGAAACTTTTTCGGCGAATGGGTATATTGGCGAATGGATGCATCGGCGAACGGGTATATCGGCGAATGGATGTATCGGCGAACGAATATATCGGCGAAATTACATTAAACACAAATATTTAATACGTCAATAAATTCTTAACCAACAACTATTCTCTATCACTTTTCCTATTTGCTTATTGTACATATTTTGCAACACAATTTTGTACATATTCTATTTAAAAAAAAAAAAAATAAGTTATCGGGATTTCGTGGTCACGGGTTTAATCTTTAATTGTATTTTCGATTATAATGTTGTTATTTGTCCGATGATGTCATAACGATAACTATCGTCTATCAGTTAAACTGTAATAACCGATTGGAATGTGTTTTACAATGTGTTGGTGATCAAGTTTAAATCAAACGGTCAACGTTCCATATTTTAATACTGTGTTACTTTGTTATTTTGTTACTGTATTATTTTTTATTAAATATGAGTACATTAACGATTAGGTCGAAACCAAAATTGGTGGACGAAAGTAATTTTTGCTACATTATAGATAAGTCACATAATGGAAAAGTAAGTTAAAAATATATTATTATTGATAAATATAAAGAATACAATATGTATAATATGAATATTGAATAGTCGTTTAAAATACTACTTTTTTTTTTATATAAATTAAATATAGACATACTGGAGATGCGAACGAAAAGATGAGTGTCCTGCACGGGTTCACACAAACATAGGTTCTCGCGAGATAATTTTTCGTTAAAAAAAAACCCACATCCATGCTCCAAATGTAGCAAAAGTTATTGCACTGGAGGCTACAACGGAAATGGTCAAAAATGCCACTCTCGGAGTAAATTCCGCTCAACAAATTGTTGGTGAAGCTACACAAAATTTAAATGATGCTGTATTAGCTCAACTACCGAAATTAAACACATTAAAACGAAAGTTAAGGCGAGTCATTGAAATTTAAATCAAAATTTAAAATCAAAAGCTCATAAAAAATTAGTTTGAGCATTATTTTTGTGGATCTACGCTAAGCATTTTTTTTTTTTAATTTCCATTGACCACAATTTACATAATATTTATAATGTTATTAGGCGAGTAAAAGAACGTGCTACATGGCATCCACCTTGTCCAACCAGTATAAGAGATTTAATAATACCGGACCAGTACAAATGTCTATCTGATGGATCACAATTTCTACTTCATGATTCTGGTGTACATGATGACGAACGATTTATAATTGTAGGATCGACGACTGGACTTCGTGCACTATCTATATCAACGCGATGGCATGCAGATGGTACTTTTAAAACTACACCACTTATTTTTAAGCAATTGTACAGCATACATGCAGAAATAGGAAACAATTCTCTAGTGGCGGGTGCGTTTATATTAATTACACGTATGACCGAAGAAGCATATACTAAGTAATATTTCGTAATTAATTAATACAAATTAAATTTTAAAAAAATTGATATATTTATATTTTATTTTTTAGATCTTTTTCCTGTTTAAATACACTGTTAACACGCAATTCGACAAATTTAAATATAGTGTTAGATTTAGAATTAGCTGCTATTAATGCATTTACATCTGTATATCCTTCATGTAAAATAACTGCCTGTTTTTTCCACGTCTCCCAATGCCTGTGGCGTAAAATTCAACAAGAAGGTTTACAGACAATATATTCAAAAGATGTTGACTTTGCAGTTAATGCAAAAATGTTGGCAGCATTGGCTTTTGTACCACCACACGATGTAGTAAAAGCATTTGAAGAACTTGTTGACTATTTACCTGAATCTATTTTGCCAGTAGTAGATTATTTTGAAGATAATTTTATCGGTATATTATAAATACATACACATAATGTATAATATTTTACTAATTTTTGAAAATTTTAATTTTAAAGGGAGGCCTATGAGACGGACAAGACGAACGCCAAAATTCCAACCAAAATTGTGGAATCTCTACGAAGCTGCCATTCATGGACTAGCTCGTACCAATAATAGTTTGGAAGGATGGCATAATGGCTTTCAAAAGCAAGTTGGTGGTCATCATGTATCAATTTGGAAGATGTTTGAAGGTCTACAAAGGGAGGTCGGGCTAGCTAAATTAAAAGTGGTACACATTGAGGCTGGCAAAGAAGAAAAACAGAAATTAAAATGGAAAAGAACCACAGAAAATATAAAAACGAAGGTGGAAAATTATTCAAACCAAGACATAATTCCATATTTAAAAAGTTTGGCATACAATATTGACTTTTAAATTTTTAATATTATTTTTATTACAATATTATTTATATTTATATTATATTATATTTATTTAAGAATTATTTTTATTATTAATTAATTATTATTATATACTTACATATGGTCCTAGGACATCAATTTTATTTAAATTATTATTGACTAAATTATTGAATTATATAATATGCAATTTAAATTTTTATTTTTGTTTTTTTGGTTTTGTGGTTTCGCCAATTTATCTATTCGTCGATATATTCGTTCGCCAATACGTCCATTCGCCGATATAACCGTTCGCAGGTATATCCATTCGCCGAAAAAGATTCGCCGAAATGTCTTTCGCCGAAATGTCTTTCGCCGAAATGTCTTTCGCCGAAAAGGATTTCGCCGAATTGGCCGGTTACCTTTAAAAATATAAGGGTCTCAAAGTAAGTATGTTTAAAAAATTAAAAATCAGATTTCGTATTACTATAATATTAAAGAAAAAAAAATTGAGAGGAGCATGATTGGTTAACAAGACGTACCTATACTATAAATGTAACATAAATATTGAAAGTGTAAAATATTATTTACTATTAAACTTTTTGATTGGTTGAAAATGAATCGCCAAAAAGTACATGGTACGTTGACAAAATTCAAAAACTTTAATGCCCTACCAAATTTAATGTTGGAGAGTTGTGTCATTCCTACGTTGTATGATTTATACATCACAGACATTCAGTGAATCACTCTCAATTATGATTAATATTAATAAAGTATTATACACAATCACAACAATATTATATGCTCCTTAAGCCTTTCACATTCCTTTCTGTTCTTCTGCTACATACCTATTTTTTTATAATACTTATTATTTATAGCTGGGGCCTTGGTTCATATTCTCAAATGTAATTTATATTCAATTATATATTTGTGTATTGTAATGATGGACCAAAGTATGTGTAGTAATTTGTATAATTAGATTAATGCATGAAAACAGTAACAAACTGCGATTAAGGTATAAAATAATTTATCTTTTTATAGATTACGCTTTTAGGGATGAAAAGGAGTTCCAAGTATTTATTCAAAAATATTGTAAGTTTATTCTTCTAATGGTTCATAGGTTTTTAATTAAAAATAGTTTAATGCATACATTGCTTTTTAATGTTATAACAATAAATAATACAAATATAGATATGCATTAATTATTTAGTCGAATTTGTATAGATGATAATCTGCTAACACTTAGTAAACGCAAAATAAAAATATTTTATTATTTTATTCGATACCTAGTATAATGTGTATAATTATAACTCAGCTTCTGGGAGAAGAGGACTAACTCACCATGAAAAAATATAAAATCAATTGAATTAATTATTGTATTTCTTAGTAAAATAACAATCATAAGTACTAATAGTAATAGAAGGAAAAATAATGTAGGTAAGAGCCATTAGATCTTTATAGAAATAATTGTTTACCGAAATTATGTGTAGCTGTGAACAAGTTACATTGGTGGCTTGCGTCAAATTTCGTAAATCTTGTTCACATGTTTACATCAGGCCTGAATAATATCAACAGATTTTTGAGACATTTGGTGGCTATTGTTATTTTGACAAATATACATTGAGTTTGGTTAGAATATCAAACCCTTATTCAAAATTGAGATTCATACTTCATTGCATCAAACCAAATTAACACACTAAATATTATTATACATAGCAGTAGTCGCTTATGAGAAAACCTTTGGGACCAAAGTGAATTTGTGTCCAAATCGGTTGTTTCTTATAAGCGATTGGTTTGATTTGTACTATGAAAAAAAAAAAAACGAAAAATATGCCAAAAATGTATCAATAATTTTAAAAAAGTACGGATGTACAAATGTATATATTTTTTAAGCTCGTCGTATGATTTTAATAACTCTTATTTCTGTTTAGAACTTAATCCTTGGAATTTAGACATTTTTAGATTTAGATTTTTAGAATAACAAAATACTTTTAAATTACTTTTACGTACGCACGCCGAATTGAGCTAATGATACGTAAAGGAAAGATCATTCTTAAACATTGTATAGAACGTACTGCACTTAAGTTAGTATAGTCCAAATATGAACTTAACGACGGCAAAGTTAAGATTAAATTACATTGGTTATCGCACGGATAAATGGTGAATATGTTAACAGCCCTCCAAATTGCTTCAAATAACCGATATGATGTTTCAATAATCTGCTTTATTTTCAATGTTGTAATATTATTATAATATCTATAATAATAAACTGTGCTTCTAGAATCTAGATGATATAATTCATTAATATAGATACACCGTTATAATAATATTACAACCATCAAAGTACTTTCCCACTCCATTCTGTGATTGTATTTTATCCCTATCTGCTATTTTACAATTTGCGCTTTTATAAGTCTATGTTACAGTATTTAAAATGTTATATTATATATCTTCACATTAGAGACACATATTGGAACTGGTGAAACACATTTTCCACGTAAGTTATTGTCAGTGATCTATAATTATAATTTACAATTATTCATAATATTATTATTCATTTGTATGTCAATTACATATTCAAAATCGTAAAGCCTTAATAGTCCAAGCTTATTTTTGTATAATGCATGTAGAAAAAATAAAATGTTACAATTGTAATGTAATGTTAAACACATATTTGAACAATTAATTCAAATAATTGCAGATCCATAAGCTAAGTTCATTAACAATTATATGCGCCGTGGTGTACTACGTAAGGAATACAAAAACTAATTTCTAAACATAAATTTAATTTATTTTGTAGAATTGATTTTAGTATTATAAACATATGCTCTAAAAATACAGTCAAAGAATCAGTTATAACACTTAATGAAGGTATTCAACTAAAACACATTATCTACTAAAATAACCTACTATTATTTATGTACTTTTTTATAGAATATTATAAATCAGTATCAAAATTCTGTGATCGATATAGCGAAGGTCTACCATTGGAAACAAGTAAGAATTAATTTTATTGGTATCACAAATTCACAAATCACAGTAATTAATTGTTTATATTTGTACAAGATGTTCCATATTGTTAAAATTTTCAATTAACAATATATACCAGTTATGCAAGCAACTAATATTAAGTGGTAAGTAGATATATATAATTACACTTTTAATTTTTATTATAATATCATATATCTAATTAATTAATATACAATTGTATTAAATCAAAATTCATTTTATTTGTATTTAAAACTCCATCTCAATACTAATTCGATTATATTGTCGGGATCCATAAATAAAATAATAATACTATTTTATAACTTTACTGTTCAATAATGTCCTAACTAAATGAAAATATATTAATGATAAATGTAACATGATTGTGTATTTTACATTTTGTCTTTTGTTTGAATAAGAATGCTCTTAACATTAAGTAAATATTTAAGACAATGTTATATGTCTCGAGGTGCAAACTTAATAGCCCTGACTATTACATATTATGCATTATTGTGTCTATGCAGCTCACGTATTCTACAAGGCAGTGGGTATATCAGAATGTTGAATAAAAAAATGAAAGGTTAATTGAGAAGGCCAACATACGGACTAATTAAAACGAAAATTGTTATTTACATTTAAAAATATATTTGTTCATAGTCTGCATATTATCGGATACATAATTTATTGTTATTGTTCGCGCCCAACAATAGAGGCCACCCGAAAGACCACTCAATGACGAGATTATCACTATTTGTACTTTTTGCAATGGTACCTACTAATATGAAATAAGCAACTGCATATGCCTACGCCTAATTATTTGCAGATAGGCAATTATAGATGCACGACGACGATAAGGATGGGACAGACCTATTTCTGGATTTAGGATGGTGCAATTTAATTATAGGGAGTTATCTCTGTTGTCGAGCTGGTATGGGTGCAATGATCACGGAGCTCACAATATAAGGCCCTTACTTACAAACTAACTCAATTAAAAATTACGGAAGTCCGTAGACGGTGATACGCTGCCGACGACGCAGTTCGGAAAACTAACTCTCGAAGACCTGGGCGGCCTCTCAAACAACGTACGTTGCTGGCGGACTTACGCGGACGACTCGCTCAGTACGATGATGAGAATAATAATAAAAAATGACTTACGCGTTCAGTTTGTGTAAGGGATCGTGTTTTATTGAATGGATTGTTGCATAACAGCAACACAAAGTATAATAATAATAACAGTGAGCAACCAGGTGCACATTTCAATAGTAAATAATTAAGTATAATATAGATTTGGGGCTCAATGTTGTAGTGATTAACAAATAATAATATATAGATCGCTTTAATAGCGGATCAAAAAACAAGAGCGAGACAACTTTTAGTAGAAGCTGGCAAAAAATATATTTGATTACACAAAATTATAACCATGTCCAAAGACAGAGGATATACAATAATAACCGACGAAGAACATTGATGTATATAATAAATACGAAAATAATAATACTACATATTTAATTAATGAGAGGTGTCGGTGGAGACGAGAGATGATAAGAAAAGGACGGCACAACGGTAACGATATCTTATCGCTAATTACTTGGCGCGAACATCACTACCCACTTTGAAGGATTCCCTTCAAGAGATTGGGAGTGGACAGAGCTTGAACGCTTTGCGTTTCAATGGTCCAGATGAAGTGTCGAGGGTGGCCACTCTGGAGATTCCGTCTGAGCCAGGATGGAGTTCACGGATTCTTCCAGTTCGCCAACGAAGAGGATGTGTCGCCTCCTTGACGAGGATAAGGTCACCAATACGGAGTTCCTGACCGGGTGCAGACCATTTTTTCCTAATTTGAAGGCTACAATGGTACTCGTTCTTCCATCGTGTCCAAAAATTCGGTGTAGATCTGTGATTAATCGCCATCGTTTTTATTTCAACACCGGAACATTGACTAGATTTGAGTCAAGAAGTGACGTCGAAGGCTCTAGAGTCAAAAAGTGACTATTTGTCAACGCTTCGAAATCATCTGGGTCGTTGCTTAGTGCACATAATGGGCGTGAGTTTAAGGTCGCTTCAACCTGGGTGAGAAGTGTTACGAATTCTTCACTTTTCAATTTGTGGATGCCAATTGATCGAAGGATTAATGATTTAGTGGACTTGACTCCTGCTTCCCATAAGCCACAAAAATGTGGGGATGCTGGAGGATTGAAGTGAAAAATTATATGATGATTAGCAAGGTGGCGATGAACACTGTCTTGAAATATTTGGGAATGCTTAAGTGTATGAAGGGGGTCCATCAACCGTGACGCTCCAATAATGTTGGTCCTGCAGTCACTGTGCATTTCCTTAATGGGTCCACGTCTGGCTGAAAACTGAGTAAACGCCATCAAAAAACATTCGGTGGACAAGTCAGAACTCAGTTCTAAGTGAATTGCTTTTGTAGTATCGCATA